CTACACATTATTCCCAATTGTAAAAAACACACAAATATTTTCTGCTAACAAAGTTGATATTTACATCTTGACAGTATTAATCCAATTCTATTTTTCTCCTGATATGGTGAGCACTGTCTCAAAGCCTCCTCTACACTACAAGAAGGTTTTTATTCCACTGAAATGTAATACAGTCAAATTGGTCACAACCATGGTCACAACCTTTCACCGGCTGGTCAGCTGTGAGTTATCTCTTCATGACACTGTACGTACCAGGTTGAGACACAGGAAGTAGAAGATTTGTCTGGAGTCATATTCCTCCAGGATCTGTTTCAGTGAATCTTTGATGAACCGTGGGAGAGACTGCGACGTGTGCTGCAACGCGTCGCCCATGAAGTTGTACAGAGGAGTCCCTTCGGGTGAGTAACCCACCAAGGTGCCCTTCTGACCTTTCTTTGACGGAGACGAGAGGATACTGGACGCTGCAGGGAGAGAAAGCAAGGAGAAATCAAGGGTGATATCCAACATTGACTGCACCTACATTCCCTTAAAATACTGAGCTGTGCCTGCGTATTTAGCATTTAATAATAGATACACATTAACTCATCCTGCTGCCCGCCTACTTACACATGATGAAGAAGATGGCGCTGACTAGCACTCCTCCAGAGAGCACGTGCTCTGTGCTGACCTGCTGGGGCGGTTTGCTCATGGAGCGCAGCTGATCCGTCAGTGGGTGAGTCCAGAAGTTAGCCAGCAGCAGAGCGCTGAGGAAGAGGGCGATGGTGCCGTAGCGGGCGCACCTCGGCGTCTCCATCTTTGCGTTGCACATGGCCTCGACGTAAAACTCCAGGATCATCACAGAGAAGATGATCATCCCGAACGGCAGGATGAGGGACGACCAGGATTCTACTTTACTCTGGTGTTGAGACAGATTCAAGGGATTCAGGGATTCAAAGACAGAAGTCATTCTGAGCTTTTTGCTGTGAAATCATTTGAGCATAGACAGACTAAATACTAAAGTTTTGGACAGAGTGAAATTTTGACCAAAGTTATTTGCATTCTTCCTGAGGGGAACATGAATGTGATGGACCAAACGCATGGCAATCCATCCAATGGTGGTTGAGACATTTCAATCAAAGCCACAAAAGCCAAACTCATGGTGGTGGTATATGAAAACTCAGTGGCTCATCATCTAGAAACATGGACATCTGCACAAAATTTCATGGCAATCCATCAGGTAAATGTTTAGTTATGTCAGTTTGGACCAAAGTAATGGATTGTGTGACCAAGAGACAGACTGACTGACAGACAGGCAAACACAGCCATGCCTGGAGCAGCTAGCATTGCTAACAATTTTGAAAACAGGACTGAGGCTATATGCATGTAGACATTTGTAAAGATTGGTCATCTTGTCACATGGTCTGTGCACCTACCTCTGTGGTCGCTGAGAGCACTATGACCCATGGCAGCAGCACCATGGCAGAAACCAGGTTGTCAAGGGCATAGAGGCGTTTTGCACCACCAATTTCCACTGATAATTTCCTGGAGACTGTGTGGAAGCCCACCTTCAGACACAGGGAGGCCACCAGCAGCACAACACCACCCTGACAGGATGAACACGAAAGCAGAGGATGAAAATCAAAACTAATACTTTACTGTGCTTCTGTTTAGGCAGCAGTAAACATAAAATTTCATGTGGGGCATGAGCCTTGCTTACTTTGTGATCCGCAACCCCTAAAAATGCAATGGCAGTGTAGAGGAAATGTGTGAGCGCGCTGTCATGGTGTCCCTCAGCTTGAAGAGGACGAGTCAAGGCAAACATAATACAAACAGAGACATATGATAATGAACAACACAAACAGATCAGGTCAATAAATAGTGAAAACAGATGTAACCGTTGCCTTCTATAAGAAGCAAAGGATACGGTGCTCTGCCATCTTTGCCATGAGATCATCGTTGTCAAAGAGAAGGAGGCAGATCACAGCGATGATGAATAAAGCAGCGCCTCTGGTCTAAACAGAGTCACACACAAACCAACAGAAATGCATGTAATGTCAAATATATCTGAAAGGGGCTTATCTTTATCTTTAGAGATAAAAGTTTCTGATTTAAAATTAGAAGTCCTCCCACCTTGGACGGCCCGCCTCCTGAGCTTGTAAACAAGACACCAAGGAGAGCAATGACCACCACATCACTGTGCTCAAAAAGCAACAATGTCCTGTGAAAGACATGAGTCAGGATTTACTTATAAGCTGAACACAACAGACTCTGCATAAACACTCATGCAGATACAGTGCCCACAAACACACAGTTAAAACTACATGTATATCACATCCACAGTATTGACATCTCTAACCACTATGGGAAAAACACATACATATGGTTGTATCAAAATATATCACCTTAGCGGTCCACAGAGAGTTAGACCAAAGAATCCCAGGAGAGATATGACACAGCTGAAAACAGCATGCTTTAGTAATTTTATCCACTACAAAGAAAACAGAGGCATTAATACAATGTATTTCATGACAAAATTATATTTTACTTTTATAATGCTCAACACAAACACTACAAACAACAGGACGACATTCATAGGTGAATAAGAGATTGAAGAAACATTTATATATCCCTGTTATGTTGAATGGTAGAGAAATGGCAGATAGAGTTCTAAACTACAGAGAAAAATTTGGATTTTTTTTTTCACTCATTCACAAATTTAAGAGTAAGAAATACAACAAACCTGTCTTTTTGAGATGACTTTACCAGAGGAGAAAGGCTTTTGAAAGAAAAGCAGAATAACAGCAGTCCTGAGAAAAGACAAAGATTTCAGTCAGCATGTTGTCATCATCCATAATGGCATGCAAATGCATGTGATGAAACCGCAGCAAGCTCAGTAATACTTACCCTAATTTTAGTACGAAGATGAATTGGACAATGTGAACAACTTTTAGGATATCGTACGATTCAAAGATCCCAAGTGCCTTGAGGACCTTTGAGACGACCAGTAAAACTATGTACCTGGTTAACCTGAAGAGGAAAAGGACATAGAATAGGATATATTAGTGCTAGAGCTGAATGATACAGAAAAAACAACTGTCCTGCTAAACGTTTTGCTCACCCACTGAGATTTTGCACATATTTTTGCACTGTTATATTAGATATGTACTGACATAAATAACCAGTTAATGGATTAGTTTACAGAAAATCTATAAATAATAATTTTGATAATCCGTTGATCATTTAAGTCATTAATCAAGCAGACTGCAACTTATTCTAGATTCTCAAATGAAAGAATGTGCTTCTTTTCTGTTTTATAGTTATAAACTGCATACAGCCTATTTGTTGTGTTTGGACACAAAAGGGAGCTTAAAGACGTCACTGGGCAATTGTGATGGACATTTTCACAATTTTATACATTTTGTAGACTAAACAACAAACCGCATATGTGGATTACAGCTACAGTCATCTGACCTTTCTGACTTAAGGGCAAGAAAACAGTCAATAAATCACACTCAGTTGGATGAGATAATCGTAAACAATACAGCAGAGACATACCTGGAATTCGGCACTTCGACCATGCCCAGTTTCCCTCCTGAGAGCACGTTGCTGCTGTATTTCTCTTCCATTTTCAAGCTCCCAAACTCGACCAGTTTAAGTCCAGTTACAGTATTTATGTTTCCGTTACCTCATCATCACTGCTACCTTAATAATGAAGCTGAACCGCAGTCCATTTAAAGCTAAACAATATGAACAGGCTTCTTCTGTCCCTAAGACATCGCCCTGTTTAACCTATCAAAATATGTAAAGTGAACTGTAAACAAACATAAGCTAACAGTCAGCTGGCAGCCTCTTAGCCTGTTAGCTAGCTAGATAGCTAGCCATTCGGCATGCCAGTTAGATTTCTATTCAAAGTTTCTAGTTGCGACACGTCCTGTGTACAGTGTACGTCAAACAAACACACGTAGTCCCTTTGTTAGAGCAGGACAATAACTACAATTTTAGGTTAGGTTGACTATAGTAAACGCTAAAGTCCGTAATGAAAGAGTAAAACAATAAGCTGGGAATAGTCACAGCACTTCCGGACACGGTAAACATTCCACGTATTAACGTCACGTACGTATGTTCGTGAGCGTCGCTCCTGCGCAGTTCTGCGCGCGGACGTGTCACTGCGGAGCGGTGGTGGTGGTCAAAGTGACCTGCATCAGGTGAGTTGTGTTTTTAAGTACACGTTTCATTACAAGTTTCATTTTCGTTTCAGTTTCATGACAGTCAATAAAAAGCTTCCATGCTGAGTTCTGCTTCACCAGCTTTCATTACTCAGTGTATTATCTCTTTGTACCGTCGGGGTTAAAATATTAAAATCATGAAGCATCATATTAATTATGGAAGGCTACTTGGACTGAGTCAAAAAGTCAAAATTAGACAATTAATTCTGACACATTAATGTAGCCTATTTGACTTGACATCTCACAATATGAATTTTCGTTATTCTGACTGTCTCAGAATTATGACTTCATCTCAAAATATGTAAATAAAAAATAAAAATCTTTACTTAACACTTCAAAATTTTACTCACAAATTCAACATTTCAAAAAGCTTTCATCGTTATGGCTTAGCAACTTAAGTCCAGATTTTGACCTAGTATCTCTCATAAGAGTCTGATTTATTATCTCATCTCAGCTTTGACTCAACACAAACATTTTAATATTTCTCATTCTAAACTTTTTCATGTTGTTTTCATGGTGGAAAATTGGACAGTATGATTTGAACATCTCACCTTAAACTAAAATAAAAGAACAATTTATTTGGGTAGCATTAACCAACTACAGCTCCCATGAGGCTTTGACAATGGTTCTGTGGCGAAGACTCATGGGACATGTTGTATGTCTATATATGTCTGTCAAACTTATACTCTATTATAATGAGCCAAGTTGTGAATTCATTGTAAAAAAAAAGAAAAACAATGTATGGAAACAAAAAGAGAAACAGTTAACAGAGAAAGTAGCATCAAACTCTTCTGAAGCAGTCAAAGCAGATTTATTTCTTGTTTAGCCTAATGGCTGATGGTTAGCCTGATAACAAACTCTGTTAAAACATAAGCATTTTGGGGAGATATTGGCTTTAAAGCTTGCAGAAAATAAATTATACCCCGCCTCTTTTGTATCTTCTTCATCTTTTGTGTTTTCTGTATACTTTAGATCAGTTTCCCATATACTATATTAAATTTCTTACCACAATATACTCCATTAGAAATGTGTTTTTGTCAGAAAGAGGGAATGTGATGCTTAAGTTATTGTTGCTGGGATAAGAGCTTTATTAGAGCATCAACTTAAAAAGACAGTTTGGTGAGGTTATTCCAAATTATTTAGAAATATGAGGAATCTTATCAGAGATTGTGGACAACAAAGCTTTGTTTTACAGGACAGTGATACAGGAATTCAGTGGGGTCCACACAGTCCAAGCAAGACCTTCTGATAGTGTTCCTCAGTCTCTCTCTGTGAAACAGAGACAAACATGTGGTCAGCTGTAACACACTGAAGATGTCACTTCTTTACTTAATGAGATTGGAGGTGAAAAACAGAATATAAAAATGTGATATTTAATAGGTATTTCTTCTCACCAGTATGTGTTCCTGTAGACTAATGTCATACATGGCCCTGTATTCCTCCACAATCTTCTTCAGGTCGACCTCAGAGCGACCCACTATCACCCTGGTCAGCGTATCCTCACATGTGCCGTGACCCTGTGAGAACAGAGCACGTCTATGTTCACTTAATTGTTCTCATTCACATCACAAAAAGTTATGTACCATTATCACAATGGTGCTACATCTGTGTATGGTCAGCTGATCACAAGAGTGAAAATATTTGCAGTGGTCAGAGACACAATGTGACAAACTTTTCAGTTTTTATTTCAACTATATTTCAAAGTAGGTATTTAAAGGAAAGACATAAATACAACAATAAAATGATATCGTCTGGGTGGGGAAAAGTTATTGGAATGGACTATCCAACCACAGTAGATGTACATGGGAAATATGCAACTTGTTAAAGAGCTACTTCAGTGATTTAGTGTTGATGAAACTGAAGGACTGACGAGTGACATTTAAAAAACAAACGTCAAAAGTCATAGCAGCAGAGGCCGATATATCCTGACTTTTAGCTTTTGGTGTGGGTCAAGCTTCACAAACACTGCACTACATTTCCCATAATGCAACTAATTTGTATGTTTCATTAGACCCTCCCCCTGCCTTCTAAATACCCACTTCACTCTCAAACTGCACACCTCTAGTTTGTAGCACAGACTTGTTTAAAATGTAGATCACCCTAATGACATCATCAGAGTTATTTATTTATTTAGACATGGGAAAGCTCCTCCACTGAAGTCAGTTTACGTTCTCTGATCGAGTAGTATAGCAAATTACCCAGAAACTTGAACTATCCCTTAAAGGTTTAACCCTAACCCTAACCCTTAGGTAAAGATCATGTTTCGGTCAAGTTATACAAGGAAAATGTCAATTTAGCTGAGAATGTCTGTGGAAAAGTCTGAGACACACACACAGACACACACACACACACACACACACACACACACACACACACACACACAGTAACCACCTTGACATATGGAGAGAGAGTGAAGCAGAGATATTCATACACACCTTCATGGCCAGATGGAGCTTCTCAGCAAAGAAAGCTGGTGTGTTCCAGGCACATTTCACTGAACATCAAAGAGACACAAACACACATCATGCAGTGTCCAGCTGTACAGCTCACAGCGTTTATTAATTCACCTCTGTGTGCTATAGTTCATCTTATCGAGTTTTATGTCCATAAATTTAGATGCTCTCTATCACATGATTTAAGCACTTCTCTTCATTTTCACTTATTCAACTCGATGTGTTTTCTTTTTTTAATTTGTGTATTTAAGTGTTTTGTAGTCCCTCTGCACCTCTGTGTGTCCTTCTTCCACTGTTTCTTACTGGATACCACATTAAAATTGTGTTAATTTAAGAGAGATTAATTTAGACTGTTCAACTCTTTTGTCAAACCCTCTTTTCCTGCTAGGACTGGTTCCTGAGCAACACATTATCCATCAGTCAGTCAATCTATCCATCAGAAAATGAACGAGTAAAACATCTTGACATCCACTGGCCAGATTTCCATTAAATTGACTGTGGATCTTCAGGGTTCTATTGATTTTGAAGACCCTTTGATTTTCCGCTAGAGTCGTGATGGCACCAAACTGCTCTCTTGTACACAGGAAATATCAGACGTAACTTTACTGAGCTCATTCATGCTCCTTAGAGGATGAATCCTTTTGATCACATGATCTTTCATTTCATTTCACCCACAGAATAACCTTTTAAATTTTGACCCCTGGAAGCAAAATCTTCAGTATGTTGCTGAATATGTTCAGCACTTTCTCTGTTGTTGGTTGTAATGTGGGTGAACATTGCAGCCTGTGTCCTGTTAGCAGATTCTCCACAGAAACATCAGTTGTGCAACTGTGACAAATTAAGTGCTTGAAAGTCCCTGACAACAAGGTTTCAGTATTTCTCTATAATATTAAATATTCATTTCTAAATGTGCAACAATCAAAGTTAAAGTTTGGAAGCTCAGCGCTCAGCAGGACCGTGGGTGTGGTTCGATCAGATTTGACATACAGCAGTTTGACAAGACAAGCAAACAGCTGTTATATATATATCATATAAAGCTAAATCCTAACTGGCGTATAGAGATATGTGACATCACCATACTCCAGCTGTACTCCGCCCCCCCCTTCAACCCAGTGAGAAAAGCACAGACAAGAGCACAGATACGGAAATCACAGCTCATACTAAGAAGCCAGTTGAGAAAATGCTTTTCACATTCTTTAAAATTTGTTCTGCAAAACTCAGCAACACGTAAAGTCCCTGCTCCAGTCCTCCAGTGACACCTAATCATGTAATATCATTTAAGATATGATGACATCAACCTTACCAATGTCAATGAGACAATCTTCGATGTCTCCTTTCAGCTCCATGTTCAGGGCTTTGGGTAGTGTGATGTCACTGACGCAGGCGTATTGCTGGAATGCTAACAGGTAAACAGACAAACAACAGGTATTTATGGGTAAACAGGCTTTTGTAGTTGTCAGACAGAAACCAGGCGTCTCTCCAAAAAGTTATTGTTGTCAAGCCAATGAGGATGTTGCATATACACTAAGCATTGCTGGAATTTAAAATACAGTCTTTAGCTGGTTTGAAAGGATCTTTAGACATGAGCATCCACAATTTACAAGTTCAGCTGAACTACAGAAGATGACTAACAACAATTTTGCAGTTAGAAGGCAGTTATTATACACAACAACTGCTCTAAACACACAACAGGGATGTTTTTACACATTTCTTAGGCAGGTTTTGTCCTAGAGATTCAAGCCAAAGTTTTCTTTCACAGAAGTTATTTTTGCTTTCATCTTTGGTTCCCTCCTCTGGACTTACCATCCTGTCTCTGCCCTGTTTATCTTGGCCACCGTCTCCTGCCACTCTCCATCCGCCCACCAGATGTCCTCAGACTCTCTTCCCTATTCCCGTTCACCTGACAGCCCCACCCATCCACACACCTGTTCCCACTTGTCATCAGCCCTGCGGTCACCTGAGCTCTCCCCATCTGTACCTCATTCTCAGCCTTGCTCTACATATACCAGTTCACTTCCTTTGCTCCCAGTCAGATCCTTTGCTTATGTCACTGTGTGTTTCCCCGTTGTGCCAGCTCGCTGCGTGTAGTATCCTGTTGTCTGTACCTGCCTGTGTGCCTACTTGTCTTCCTGGCTGACTTTGCTCTGCATTGTTCCTACACTGCTGGGTGTGTTCCACCTGTTGCCTGGAGGAGTGTGGTTCCACCTGTTTGCCCAGATGTGTGTGTCCTCATTTAAAAATGAAGGTTTTGAATGTTTCATCCTCTGAATCAAACCCAACAGCTGAAGCATTCACACATTTGAAACACACTCACTCTTAGAGAGCTGTGGTCCACTCCGTGTGGTCAGGATGTTGATGAAGGCGGACACGTCGATTCCTGAAGTGTTCTCACCTGCCTCGAACAGAATCTACAGATAGAAAACAGTAACACTGTGAACCTGTGGGGTTTGGTGATTATATGTGATAGTTTTTCATGTCCTCCCTTATGATTGGCTGACTGTTTTCTGAGTGATACATCGCCAGGCCAACCAGAGGTAATGGATTGTAGCTTACTACTGTACCTTGGTAAAACTCATTAGTAAATACAAATGGCAATACCCAGTCAGCGATTGAGTCAAACATATGTTTAAAATTCAAGGATAATGATAAAATCCTGTGGTATTTCAGAAAAAAATCAACTTTACCCACTGGTCTCTAATGTTACTCTGCTTGGGAAGGTTGTGCAATGATTTATTGGCTTCTTGACATCCAACAACTAATAGCTTGTTAGCTCGGCGATGGAAAGACCGCTTGGTGTTGTTATAAATAAAGTTAAAACGGCTGAGAGCGGAGACTTTGATGTGACATCACAAAGTCCCAGAAGTCCTGATGGCTGGTGTCTGAATACAGGCTGTGTGCATTTCTCTGTGGACTGAGCGCTTTCATACTTTCACAGTATTAATATAGAACCTAGACCTGCTTTATAATCAAACAACACATGGACATCCACCTTTATACTATATGGGACTTTTAAAAACTACAGTACTCAAAAATGACAGAGCTTTTTTTTTTTAAATTAAATAACTAACTATACATCTGTTACATCTTCAGTAAGAACCAATGAGCTTGGGACAGTGCTACAGACAGGATAGGGAAGTTAAAAAGTATTTTTAGTTTTTTCAAGATATTGGCAACATAATTATATAATAAGGCCAATCATGTCGTTTAAAAGTTGATTTTCCTGACTTTACCTCTGCATCCTTTCGGGCCATCCCCGTATTGACTTCAGTATTCTCATCTTTGTTTGCTTTCAACATGGCCAGAAGGGCCGTGGTGAAGTCGCCACTGGTCTCATCCTGCATGACCTCCTCCAGGTCCTTTTCATACTCTGAGGGATCGAGAGCATTTCAGGATAAGGTTTGATACACTCTGTAATAATATAATGAAACAAGGTATAGCTGCAGTGGTAATAACTTTTGTTAAGAGGCACAATGATTACAGTGCAGCACTGTCTGGGAATTCAGTGTTATACTGCTCCAGTGGAGACACTGAAGAGGTTTGAGTTACATACCTAAGATGTTACATAAAATGTGAAGAGCTCTCAGGAGTTCAGAGCACATGTACACACACACACACACACACTGTAAGTAGTGGATCCGAATCAAGGCTGACCTTCTTTGAAGACCCTCTTGATCTCTCGAATCTCTTGGTTTGATCTGGTTGCCAGAATCTCCACCAGGACGTCCTCATGTGTTCCCCATCCCTGTTGGAATAGAGAAAATGCCGTAGAAGCATTAAGCAACAAATGTGCCTAGAAATAACAGATACTGCAGGATAAAGCCTGAGGATAAAAACAGCTACACGTAACATCTTATTCAGCTCAACTAATGCTCAAACTTTAAAAAAAAAAACAAAAAAAAAAACAAAGAAGATAAAAACCTTGCAGAGGCCAAATCAAAGAGGAATTCACTGCTGGTTGAACAATGAAGAGTTACACAGTGTTATTCTCCCAATATTCTCCCATGATATTTATCACATAAACCACTGATGTTTACCTTTGTGGATTGCCTGAGCTGGTAGGCATCAAAGTGAGCTGGAGTCATGAGCAGAGCCAGAGAGACGTCCTCTAAATCTGAGCGCAGAGCTCCCCTCAGAGCTTCATCCAGCCTCTGCAACACACAGGGAGCAACCACATGAAGACATGACGGTATCACTGCTCATTACAGTCATGGCATTTCAGAACGGACAAAAACTGCTGCAGAAAAGTAAAGCCATCATGTGCTGATTTGTGTGTGTATGAGGATGATAGGATCTGCCACAGTGTCTCTTTTGATACTAGCAGTAGGGGATCTGGAGTCATGAGTCAGTTACTTTAAAGATTTTTTTTGTCTTACACAGCCTGACTGTGTGTGAGTAGCACAGGATCACCGCTTTAAAATGACAATGTCACAGTGTCTTCTGGTGAGGTATCCTGCATTTACTTGTTGACATTGGTAATGACGTGATGTGCTAAAATGTAGCACAAATAGCGATGAGTCATAAAGACAACAAACAAGCAATGTCAGTTGCACAACAGTGGAACCATCAGGGCCTTCTAGGCCTTCAGAGACAGCAACACATGTCAGCATTATGAATGTTATAATCAATATCTTTCATTTAATTATCATTCTCTTCTAATTCTGATTTTAGCCTCATTTTCTATTAAATTTGCTTCAGAATTGAAATGGTTATAATCCCATAACCATGAATTAACCAATCACATTTTGACTTATAGTGTGTGGGACCATAAATCACTGTCCTAGTCCCTCCCGGAGGATCAAGGCCAGAGCTATTGCAATGGTGTAAATCATCATCGGCTTTTCGAATTGGTGCGCTCGCTGTCTTCACTCGATGCTCCTGCAGTGAAGACTCAACATACCCAAAGCCCCCCAGCAGGAACATGAATTTGGTCAGCATTAGCTCTAATACTCACGGTTCGCCACTGTTGCACAGCAATAGCTTTTAGCTGTTAAAGTTAGCCAGCTAGCCACCATGGTACTGGTCATACCATTGCTAAGCTGTAGCTGAGTGTATTTAATTCAATAAGATTGTGTTTTATTACTTATGAATTCAACTATTCATTCGTAAGAAGAAAAGTAACAGTCTTGTTTGAAGTGGGACTAAGCAAAATAATGTGAAAGAACAACTGAACTTATGCTTAAACATAAGACTCTAAACCCTGCAGGTTAATGTGAGAAAATAAGAACTGCAACAGAAGCTTTAATCCCAATGCAGAGCAAGGGTTGAATGGCTTGTTGCTGTCACAACAATTGACCTCATTTGTGTTGCAAATCTGTAAAATGCTCAAAGCACTTTACATAGTGAGGTCAGTGATGACTGACATTTAATGTTTTAACATTTTTCAAGGCTTTAACTTTAGTTTTGGTTTGTGTTTGTGAATCTTCCATTATCTGACCAGACTCTTCATATGATATAAATGACTCACCTCCCCAGTGGACGCTTCATAAACGGCTTTGATCTTCTGCCTCTGCTCGTTGCTTCTCTTCACCAGGACTGAGATGATCACATCCTCATCCACTCCTGCGAGGGACAAGCTCTACTTTACCTCACATACTTTAAAGCACTGAGAGGAGAGTGAGAACGTTTTACAGCAGCCTAACCTTACAAACACAAGGTCACCTTTAAGAGTACGTGAGAGGGCACACCCACCTTTACTTTCAATGGCACTCTGTAGAACTGAAGCGTCACTGCTGGCGTTGAAGTTGGGGTACGGGGAGACTGTCCCATAATACTTAGGCTTCGGTTTACCCTTCACCTGAAAGAACAACCAGAGATACAGATGTTTTACTCTGGCTTCTGCAAACCACAAGGACTTCAAAACTGAAGATATTTCTCATGGCAGTTTCATTACAAGACAGAGTGACAGACACAGTGGAGATGGAGGAGAGGATGATGACAGAGCTATGAATTCATATAAAATCCAAACACAGTATTCATCAAAACTGCAGCTAGCCAACAACAGGTGCTTTCTCCTAGTGACTGGTTGTTCCTACAGGTGACACTCACTGTAACGGTGTCATCTTCAGGGTCTCTGTTATGGATGACATTCTTGAAAAACTTCTTGAAGATGGACATCTTTCCTCGGCTGGAAGGTTTAAAAACAGAAGCAAAGGCTGTAGCAAGAAAGAAAAAACAGGAGGTTAGAGTGTTTTAAAATGGTCTTTATCGTATTTAAAAATGTAAAAACCTCACCTGTGCTACAGGAGACCGTCCTCACACCCAGGTCTGTGGATGTTAGTCACAGTATTTAGCTCGCTCTGCAGTGTCTCCACCCAACTCTGCGCAGATGATTTTGAGGCAAGTTTATTTTACCTGCAGAGGATCAGCCAATCGTCTGTCACCTCTCAAAGCTGGCATTCCTGCAGGGTGGCTGTCTGAGGTTGGAGCACCTCTGACTGGTTGGGTGACTCTTCTGTTCAGGCTTGTGTTGTAAATTTTTAAGCTTCACCCTTTTAATCAAACAACTTATTAATCACGCAGACATGCAGCAAACAGTCTCAACTCAGAAAGAATTAAGTGTATAGTTTAAAGGAGCTGGTGAAGTAAACCTTAACACTTAAATACTGACCTGAGACAACACGTTGCTGTTTTTGTACAACTGCATGACTGAACCTGATGTTCCACATTTTTTTCTTGGGCTGTGAAAAGGGAACTCAACAGATTTTGGACATCAAAGTCTGTTTATAGGTCTTGGGAAGCTACTGCATGTTTGAAAAAAGTTTCATGAAGCCTTTTGTGGCTCCACGCGGAGCTACACAATGTCCTTAAGTGATGTCACTTGAGTCAAGGTCAGAGGAGGCTGAAGACTACAAGTTTGAAAATGAAAGAAATCTGGGATATGGTGTTAGGAAGAAGTGAGTTTACCAAATCTCTGTAGCCCGCTCCTCATCTCTGCTTGAGGCTAGAGGCTCAAGGATACATTAGCCACTACAAGTATAGCACATCTGAATCTCAAACCAAAATTCTCTGTGGTCAAGTTGCATTGTGGGTAATGTAGGCACCAGGTTTAGACAAGCAAGATGAGAGTGCATATCATGTAGGCTCAGTCCTTACTGCGGTAGTTTGGGTTCAAATCTGATTCAGGCCCTTTGCTGCATGTCTTCCCCTCTCTCTACCCTGACCTCCCTGTCGCTCACTCTGACCCCGTCATAAGGAAGCCAAAAATGGCCAAAAAAACATTGTAAGCTGAACTGCTACAAAGATGTTTTAAAAGATATTAAACTTTATTGCAAAGTCAGAATCTTATCATGAATTACGAAGTCAACGTAAATGTAAAAGAGGCAAAGATGTGTTGAAAATCAATAACTGAGACATCAGACATGACCACACTGTGTTTACATAAAGTACATGAACAAACTGAGTGGGGGATGTTTGAGATAGTGACGCCAATCTCTTCAAAATCACCATAACGTAACAGCATGAAAATATGCTTAACTGACATTACATATACACATATATGACATATAGTCTAAAGGTAGATGTCCATGTGTTGTTTGATTATAAAGCAGGTCTAGGTTCTATATTAATACTGTGGAAGTATCAAACACCTCAGTCCACAGAGAAATGCACACAGCCTGTATTCAGAAACTGAGCCTTAGAACAAGCCATCAGGAAGTCTGTGATGTCACAATGAAACAGTCACCCCCCTCAGCTGTGCCCCCAGCATGGCCTCTTATTGGCTCTGAGCCTCTCTTCTGATTGGCTGACTGACCTGTTAGACCTGCTGGAGCTCCAGGCAGGAGGCGTAAAACTACATTGAAGATTTTTGGTTCTTACGACCACAAATATATTTTCTATGGATATAAGATAAGATTTCACAGTGTCTGGACACCTAAGATCTTTGTTTCCTGTGGTTGATGAGCTCAGATGAGAGAACTGTCTTTACTTTTGGAAATGTGTTTTATCATCACAGAGACAAACAGCATTGTCAGTCAAGTTTAGTTGTTGCTCAAGACAAAGCAGCAGCTGTAGGTTCCAGTTTACAGGGTTCCAAAAAGTTTCAAGAATGACCTCTGACAAACTTCAAACTGTTGATGTCAGTAAAGAAGCATGAAAGGAAATGAAGGCTCTTGTGAAATACCGCTATATAACACTCTGCTGAATGTGTTTGTGCTTTGAACTGAACAGATATTGTCTTGGGGATGAACATAGTCTTCAGGGAAGTGAGTCCTCCTCAAACCCAAGAACTGTTGACATGAAGTAGGTTTGAAGTGTCCTGATATGATTTCAACTTGCTAGCCAATCCCCTTCTGTGGCTATTATACACATAGGCAATAATATGTGTTATATAGAAAAATAAGGAATGTCATGAAGGCATCATTAAGGGAAATGAGACTCTGTATGAATAGTCATCATGTTTCCATTCATACTTTATATACCTGTGATCCATAGTAACCAGTACTCTGCACTTTCATTTATGTGTTGCAGTATAACACACGATCATGTCCATTACCAGTGAGTTATCTGGTAACACAGGGTGAAGTACTGTACTGCTATGGTCACCACAGTCTAATATACCTTGCGTTCTGATGTAGGAGAGTGGTTTAACTGTTCAACTGAATTAATTTGAATTTAATTTGAGATTAGATTTCACTTATTGCTTGTCCCTGCCTGCTTTTATCTGCTGAGCATTAATAAAGATGAACTGTTTTGAACTTCTACCGTTGTCTCTGAGTCATGGAATTGAGGCCTCCCTATCCTGAGTCATGACACCTGTCAATCAGAAGACAATTTGGACACTAGCCAATGTTAACCCATGTTTAACTCATATGGGAACCAACAGGACAGAAACACAGATCAACAGTCGTCCTTCATGAGTTATATGTTGCTCAAGACAAAGCAGCAGCTGTAGGTTCCAGTTTACAGGGTTTCAAGAATGACCTCCGCCAAACTTCAAACTGTTGATGTCAGTAAAGAAGCATGAAAGGAAATGAAGGCTCTTGTGAAATACCGCTATATAACACTCTGCTGAATGTGTTTGTGCTTTGAACTCAACAGATATTGTCTCGGGGATGAACACAGTCTTCAGGGAAATGATTTTCTCACACTGTTATCTTGGAGGGGGCCCTCTCCCACGGCCTCGGCCCGGTCCTGCACCTGGACCCGGCATCGGCCCTTGTCCTCTCGGCCCTGGTGGCCGGCTCACCGGTCTTTGAACGTTGGGGTTGGGCGATGCCAGAGTCACATCTTTCTCCAGGTTTACGCCTTTACCAGGCTTCGTCTTAGTTGGCTTTGGTTCTGGCTCTGGTTTTTTTTCTGTTTAGACAGAGAAAATAATAAATCAGTTGTTGTATCTCTGGGTTTCCATTGATTCATAACCTAAATACCTCAATGGAGGCAACATCAAATGTCTGTTAGTGTTTAAGAATAACATGTTAGTGCTCTATACACAGAGGGAATTGTATTTTCACATGTTGGTATAAAGGGAACAAGCTTGGATTAGTGTTAGATTCATATGTATAACATGTCTCCTTTTATAGGAGTTTACTGACCAGGCTCTGGTGGAGCTGGGGGGGCAAGGGAGCGGTTCGGCAGAAGGTCCTCCAAGTCTTTCATGACCTGGTTGGTGCTGTCCGTGTTGTTCCTCCGATTCTTCTCTTCATCCCGAGCCTGGACGGAGACAGACGGAGGGAGACGGATACAGACAAGAAGAGGTGGTGGACAGAAAAAAGAGTGAGGAGATGGAAAAACCCAACATATTCAGTTATTGTTACTTATATCGAAGATATGTCAAGAAGGTGCTTAAAGGATAAGACTACTGATATTCTATATTTTTGTTATTGTTAAAAAATTCTATGCAAAGACCAAAACCAACAATATATTTGTCCATCACTCGATACGTCAGACTTCTGAGGCTACGTCCACACCGTTTTTAAAACGAAGATGATCTCTGTCCAGACGACTGTTTTAGCTTCATATCAGAAATGATCTCTGTTCATATTATCACACTTGAAAACGCATGTATTCCTGACTCATGACATGTCTTGATCAGACCCAATCAGGGAGCGACTGCGTGTGTCTACACCAGCGTTTGGAGTAGTGTGAACACCAGGCATAAAAGTAGCAAAAGTGATGCATTTTAAAACTAAAACGTAGTAGTGTGGATGTAGCCCGAGTGTCAGTGGCCTCGAGTCCATTGGTTATTCCTGAAGATGTAAATAGTTTAAAACAGGGCACAATTATATATTTCATTTCTTTAAAAAAGGCTCAGTAACTTCCTATAACAGATGGACACTGTAGTTTTTAGCAAACATTACTCAAACAGGAGTAAATAGTGCATTTCTTTGGGACTATTTCCATTTGGGGATTAATACAGTGGTTATGGTAATGAAGAGACATGTCGCCCAGTGCAAGAGTGTGGCTTATGTCATGGTTTTTGGACAACAAACACTCGATGGCACAGAGGAATAAGATATATGAAGCTTTGGTACAAAAACAATTCATGTTAATATTATCAATTCATTATTGATTTCTTTTCAGACGATTTGTTTGCAGAAATTAAAATAGAAAGTCACTAAATTATCCTTTAAACAGTATCTTTAGTGGGATATTTGATCAAAAACACTTTGGATCTGTACATGATGACGGATGGTAGCGCTACATGAAAGATGAAGGGGACCACCACAGACAGATTGCCATTACGAACTAATTAATTATTTCAGCAGCCTGTAGATCTGTGATAACACCATGTATATGTACAGACTGCGCAGGTGTACTCTACTTGTATCTCCATTCTGTATTTACCATCTGCATCTTCTTCTTCAGCTCCATGTTGGAGTTCTTGTAGGCCTCAGACACTGAGTTCAGGTAGTAGATGGCCAGTCTGTACAGGAGAGAGGACAGGATTGATGTATGAATGTGAAATGTGCATCTATTTCAAAATATAACTTGGTATGTACTGGGACAAAATTGAGGACGAGCTCAAAAATATATAAATCAGAAAATGAGTTAAGTTAGGTTCAAAGCGTAATGTGTGTGTGTGTGTGTGTGTGCCTCCTTTACACTCACACCATGAGCAGTACAGCTGGTATGATGAGGCCCGGGTTGGCTGCGTAGCTGAAGAGCGTCCCCATGAAGGCCGGCAGGTCCAGGTCGATCGTCTCCATGATCACATCAAACATCTTCACCTTCCCACTGCAGACATCAACACTGTCAATATGTCTGTTCATCATATTCATATTACATCATTTTAAGGGTTTGTTTTCGGGCTGTCCGTCCGTACATAGGTACGTTGGGGGTCAAAGATTCAAGGGCGCGGTGACCTCACAGAAGACGGTTTTGGCCTTGTGAGCTCAATATGTCTATTACAGGAGGTCAACCAGCCACCCCGGTTTTCCCAGCTGCTCGGAAAGCTGCAGGGAAGCGGAGTGGCGCTTCCAGTTCACTAAGCCTCGCCTCCATTACGACAATGAACTACTTTCATTACATGTATCATTATTACTAAAGGAGGCAGAGGAATAACGAAACATAAGGCACAACAAACAGGAGAGAGCACGAGAAAGGGAGGGAGAGAAAGAAGTCATCAGTACCTGCTAAGCTAAAGAAACTAGCAGATCTGAGTAGCATGTAAACAACAGAAACGCCAGCAACCGGAAATGAGACAACATGCTGCAGTACAGCAATAAGAGCCCTGTCAAGAAAGAAAGGGTTTCTGTCCACTGAAATGCTTAGAGGGCTTTTAATTTATAGCAATTATAATAAATATAAAAATTATACATATCAAGCAGAGGGAGTTAGAAATAAAGACCTGCCTCAATTACAGGCCTGTTACATTCTGGAGTTGAGGCGAATAAAGGCCCCGGTTTCACTAGTTGAAAACTGTTGTGGATCCGACAGAAGCTGTGTGCTGTGTGTAAGTCAAAATAAAAAAGATAAGAAGGGTCGCTTCAATTTCTTTCTCTGAGTAATCATTATATAAGTAAATACAGCTGAAATCACAGCACAGTCTGTCTTTAACATGTGTTTGGTGATTTTGTCAGATGGTTATAAAATCACAATTTTAGCAGCAGCTTGGAAAAGGCTTGAACAAAGCTTTGATATTTGACTTTGAGATGTTGGGCGAGTGTTGCTGTGCTTTTTGTATTTTTTGTTTCCAGTAGATATCATACAGTGTGTGGTATAATAAGGTTTAAGTCCAGGTCATGTGACCAAGTCAACACTCTGGGTTGCCATGACGTCCTGTGATGATGTCATACGGAATGTTGTGATGTATGAAGGCCAAGAGAACTCCAGTTAATTATAAAATCTCTTTGTGAACACACAAGAACCCCCAGAACAACACATCATCCACACGAGAAAGTGCAGTACTACAACTCCAGCACCAATTCAATATTTGTGTACAAACGACATGGAGAAGAGCAACACTTCAAGAGATGAGAAAAGATTTTCAAAGCAGCCTGAGGATGCTGCTCAACAAGAGGCACATCCTCCCAGTAAAACGCTGCAGGCCCTGCGACGAGCCCTTCTCAACGCCCAGAGGCAAAATAAAGAGCTGGCTGCCGAAAATGCAGCTCTGAAAGAGCAGGTAGCCAGCAAAGACATCAGCTGGGAGGCAGAGAAAAAGATGCTCCTGGAGAAGACTGTAGAGTCTGAAAGAGCTGCAAGGACAAAGTTGGAAGCATGAGCGCAAGAATATGGACAGACGGATGAGAGAGAAGGAGAAGGAAGTCCACTCCTTGAGGGCACACCTGTGTTTTCAACAAACCCAGACAGAGATGGCCAAGAAACAGTGGATGGCAGAGGTCGCCAGAGTCAAGGAGATGGAGCTCTCCTTTGACCAAAGCATCGTCCAGTTCACTGCAGCGTGGGAGAGCCGGCTGACTGCCAGGGAAGAGAAGGCAGTCACCGAGCTCAAAGCGCTGCAGGAGAGCTGCGACAAGAGGGTGAAAGACATTACCCTGCAACAAGAAGAGGACATCAGCAGTGCCAGGGCTGACAAACCTGGTTACTGATACACAGAAATCTAGAGCACCTGGACCAAGATCAAAACCCTTGAGGCCAAGATCAAGCAAGGAGATCGAGTGGCAGGAAGACGTCAGGGCCCTAGAGGAGAAGCTCAGGCGAGAGAGGAAGTAAAGCAGGGATGAGCTGCAGCAGCAGAACAAAGCAGAGGACAGGTGGCTCGCCAAGCAAGAGGACTGGATCAAGAAGGTCAGCTGTATAGAGGAGGAGATCCAGCGCCTCATCCTGCAGAACGTTGAGCTTCAGGTACGTCACATCAGCCATCACTTTGATTTGAATTCTAACTTGTTGGATTGTAAATTTCTTCCAGATTGAACCTTTTGAAAGAGAAAATACTGCAACATGTGCTGTGTCTGTCTTTTCAGGAGCTCGCCTTAAAATCCGATAGAGACAAGGCAAAGATTAGAAAGGAGGAAGAAAAGAAGTTGAAGAAGGAGATGAAGGAGAAGAAAGAACAGAGAGAGAAGGAGAAAATGGAAAGAGAGGAGAACGAGAGGAAAGAGATGAAGGAGAAGGAAGAGCAGGAGGAAGGAAGAAGTTGAAGGAGAAGAAAGAGCAGGAAAAGAAGGAGAGGAAGGAAAGAGACAAGAAGGAGAAGAGAGAGATGAAGGAGAGAAAAGACAGAAGGAAAAGATAGAAGCAAGCTGAGACAAGAACAGAAGAGAGAGGTAACATCCCTTTCCCTTTAACCCCCCAACATCAACCCTTTCCCTCTCCCTCTCCCTCACCCACCTCCCAACCCCCCTTCACCCCTCCTTATCCCCTCTCCCATCCCTAACCTCCCTCAACCCTCATCCACCCCCTCCACCACCACCACCACCACTACCTACACCTTTTCCCATTCCTCCCACCTTCTTACCCTAAACCCCCCAAACATGTAACTACCCACCCCTCTACAACATAAAAATAATCCAATACAAAAACTAACTCTATGACATCCACCTGTTTCTGTCCGACAGCAGAGCTTTGAGATATTTACCTTATTTAAATTTCTATAAACTGAATTTGATCCTTCATTTTCACCTTGGCACGATATGAAGTGATTGTAGAGTCTGTAGGGCTGCAGCGATAGTCGCCATGATCGACGACGTCGACTATGTAAATGCGTTGACGTCAATATTTAACGTTGATGAATCGGTTCCCATATATTGATTTATTTGTGGCGGCGAGTCACTATTAACCGCCATATATCTATTTTCTAAATCATCTATGGTCACACTTCTTCTCCGCTGCGGTGCCAATACACACACACACACACACACACACACCACATGCCTATGTTCAAATCTCTTCTTCTTGTGTGGTACACTACTACGTATAGTACAATGAATGTTGTCGCTACCCAACTAGTGCACTAATTCAACACAGAAAAGTATGAGCTTGAACAAGCAACAAACAGAAAAGAGAATTTCTTCGTATTTGGTACAAATGCTCATGTCTTGGACTCAAGGACTAACTAATTAGACTTTGGTGGTCAAAGCTCAAAGGTCAAGGTCACAGTGACCTCAGGAAACACTTTTTAGCCATTACTCAAAACTTCACACAGAAATTATGACAAGATTTCACACAAATGGTTCATATTTTATATGACTCTGGATAAACAGGGATGTAACCTGAAACTACAGTAGTCTAAGTGGCAGAGGCAGACAACCGCCAGGCGGTAATTCTAGTTTTTCACATGTGTTGTTACCTGAATGGTCCACAGTCAAACGAAGGGGGCAGGGTCATGATGGTGTAGACGACAGGTAACAGACTGAGGAAGAGGATGAGGAGCAGCAGGCCCATGTAGAAGTTGTTGGACTTGGAGGCCTTGAAGACTCTCTCGTGGGGGACATTGGTGGCCATGACGGCCCAGCACTGATAGTACATGGAGCTGAGGAGGCGGAGCACGTTGATGCCAACCAGCCCAGGAGCATAAAATGCACCCATCCTAAAGACATGCAAAACAAATAATAACAAATAGTGAAGTAAAAACATTTAAATATGATGTAAAAATTACGATGTAATGAGAAAAACTTTGAATCTAGTGTAAGGATGCATGTGAAACAGCATAATGTCATGTAACCTTTTACTACATGTTACATATAACTGGTGATGGTCACTTCTATTCAAAGTGCTGTTGATAATGAACATAGAGCAGCTCCAATGGCAACCTGAGGACCAAACACTGGCTGTACATTATCCATCCATTTAGTGATACTGGATACATGCAGCAGCCATGCATTTAAACTCACACTCGCATACACACACGCTAATGACCACACTGGCGACCGAGTGAGAGCATGTGAGTATAAAAATACAAGAAAAGTTTGTACCAGATCATCCCTTGATTGAAGACTAATCCAAGAACATTTCCACTGATGTCGAACTCTCCATACGACGGCTAAAAGTGAACAGACAATGAAGAAAAAAAAGCTTTACTCATAACAAAGTTTAAGTTATACAATGACCTCATTATGTTCTTTTTCCGGGGGCTATTGAGGGTAGCGTTCAACAATCTGTTTGCACTTTGTATCATTTCTGTCTGCCAGTAACAGTCCCCTGTCAACACTCAAACATAATATATACTTCATATTATTTGATCATAGTGTGGAACTGGGATTGAGACTGTGAAGAGGGACCTATTGGAGGTGAAGTAACAGTATTTCAAGTTGCTCAATCTATGCATTATGGGAATTTTCTGCACAGCTGAACCTCCAGAGCATGGAACGATATCACATTTAGATTTTATTTGTTTACACATATGCAAAAGACACAAGTTGAGCTACGCAGAAACAACAAAACAATGAGATGGATAGGTGCAAAAAGTCCCTAAAGAGGGTTCAGAGCTCTCTCCCATACATATTTTACTTAATTTAGAATAAGGAAAAAACATCAAAAAGGGATGGGAAGAGGGGAAACAAAAAATAAGATTTCATAAAACAGTAGACATCCAAATATATAACTACACAAAATAATTCAAATTAAAAATGATTCCATCAGAAAACAACTGACTTCCTGTGCTGTTCATCACTCACTTGAGCTGTGCACTACTTTTTAGACACACCTTGAGTAAACAGTTTAATTTAATGATGAACCAAAAACTTACAAATCCAGCCTCCAGGTCCCAGCACCAGCAGTAGTTGAGGAAGCGGACGATGACGGCTCGGGCGAAGTCACCAATCAGGATGGTCAGGTAGGTCACCTGGATGTCCGACACTGTCAGCTTCACAAACTCCTGCAGCAGAGAGTTGAGTTATGAATGAACGGGTGATGAATTACACCTTTAAAAGGAGAATTTCTCTGAGCAGGTGTTTCCACTGTCAAAACACCTTGTATTCATTCTGATGGTTTATAAAACATTATTACCCAGTTTTGGATAGATCATATTTAAAGAATATCAATATTGATGTTAACTGATGAGACATAACAGAAAATGATGTCATATTGACATTGATTAAGAGAGCCGTATTCATGATGTAAGTGTAAAATAGTTTTTATTTTTTCGTTACTATGCCAACAGCGGTTTCCCAGCAGGGTCCTCTGATGACATCAGCGGGGTTCATGGGGGGTGGGGTGGACTCGGTGTCGTTGATCAGGCGTGAGTAGTTGGCGTAGTACTCCTTCATGGCCCAGATGGAGGCGTTCTTAATGGACTGCTCCTCCTCCAGCTGAGAGGCACAAAGAAGCCAGTCAGTCAGCAGAAAACCAAAGCACATATTTTACATAAAGATTGTTTTTTATATGAATGTTTATGGGATCAAACATCAAAAGCTAAAATGAAAAATAGTTCCACGCAGAGCCACAAGACTGGTGCTAAACTAAAATATTCACCATTTTATAAAAGATGCATACTAATGACGTTAGCCTCTAAAGCAAAAACTGATCAAAATGTTCATTAAAGTCGGGAATTAAGTTATGGGGCTAGAAAGGTTCAACCTGAGACTGGCACAGAAATCAAAACAGTTTAAAATGGATGAGATATCCTGTGTGCAAACTTGACATTTTGGCCTGAGGGTGGTGCTACAGGAAAGACACAAAAAAAAAAAAAGGTTTAATCCTCTACAGTGTCTGAATGTGCTCAGTGAATTTCATGTTAGAGTAACCATTTCATTATAGTGTTTCTGGTGCACAATAGTGGTGGGAGAGGAAAGGTCACGAAGGGTCATCATAACATGAGGCTTCACTGAAATCTGACCTCTGTTGTTTTGCTCAAGGGGATCGTATTGACATGTTGACTGACTGACTGACTGATTGACTGGCTGGCTGGCTGCTCAGTGAACAATGAAAAGACTTGTACCAAATTTATCTGCAGGGTTTCAGCTAATTTATCATAATTCAGGTCATTTGTGGCTAATGTGGAACCATCAGAAAAGTGTCATGAGGGTCACACACACACACACACACACACACACACACACACACACACACACACAGTGGTGGCATACCTTGGTGTTAACCTCATCAAACAGGGCAAACAGAAAGGTGTAGAGGTTTCCCAGGAAGAGGGCAAAGATGCGTCCCAGCTGCCACTTGAGGGCAATTCGAGGATGGTAGTCCTCCAGCTCAGCGATGGTCTCAAACAATGGAGGACACACCAGACCCAGCAGAGACATGATGATCTCCAGCTGGACCAAAACCGAAACCAGTTTCATTACAACATGTTACTAGTGAATATTTTTCTTTCTACATTATATCTACAGTTGTATCTCGATGTATTAATTATTTTTTATATATTTTTTCGATAAAAAATGTTTCTGCTTGGCAGCATGTGATGTATCCTGATAGACTTTTTTTGCATGACATGTAAACAAAATAGCTGTGAATGCATTTGTCTTGTTAGATTGACTTGTGGGAATGATAGTCTCACTGTCTCCTGTGTGTTTTAGATTTCATTTCTAACCTTTGCTAATGCTCATTAAAAGTTTAATAGTAGTATTTAGCATCCTGTTGCACACAAAACAGAAAAAAGTCACACTTTGTTAGTGTCCTATACACCTGCTTGCATCAGAATTAGTAATAGGCACAGTGGCAGGAGCAGTAAGAGTAGTTGTTGTAGCAGTGGTAGCCGTAGCTTAGCAGCTGCTGCTAATAACTGTATGTAGTCTTGTCAATAGCGGTGTCAACATCAACATCATCATCAGGACCTCTTTCCCTGGAGTCACCTGACCATTATTACCTCATTCTTCTCGTACCAGCTGAGGTCGTCCCTGGTGGCGAACTCCTGAGACCTCTTCACCACGAAGTAGATGAGGTATCCGCTGCCGCCGAGGCTGCAGGTAATCAGGACGTTAGCCATGACCCTGAGGAACCTCCGCAGGTGAATGTTCTCATCCTTCTGGTTCTCTTGCTCGTCCACAATGGACTCCTGTTCTTGGCAGAATAGGAACAGAAAGGATTTACATTCGGTAGAGACCTTAGTCTGTCATTGGCTGCGTTAGCAGTGTAGCAGTCAACTCAAAGTGAACTACAGATGCCCTGACAAATAATGCACACATGTTTGTACATTTGTTTCTAGTAAAGAGGTTGCCATGGTTACCTTGAAGCTGGTAGTGATGGAGGCGTACTTGTTGTCAGCTGTCTCTGCGTTGCCGATGAGGTAATCCCAGCTGGTGAACATCTTCCAGGCGAATGTGAACTCTCCTTCTTCTCCGTCTCCACCGCCAACATCAGCGTTCTTGGCCATTCTAGAAAACAAAACAAAGTCCTTCTTTATGGACGTATGGACAGACAAGCCTGGACACTATAGAAATAAATCTGTGTATTTGCAGCAACCTGTTTACATATTCAAAGTTCTTTTATATTGATGACGTTACATCTTATTTCTTGCTTTGTCACATTTGAGAGACTAAATGAACTCAAATCAAATTAATGGCAAAATTTTCCAACTCAAACGAAAAACCAATCAAAACTCAAGCTTAATGACAGAATTACATTACATTATTAATGTAAATGCTCAGGGACGTTTTACATTAAATCTTCATTAAAAGCAACTAATACAAAGGTCTCTGTGCTTTACTTGACTCACGTGCGGATCACGACCATCAGGCTGTAGCCGAAGGTGCCAATCCCGACCATGAGGTAGGACAGAGGCAGCCTGAACTTCAGCAAGCCGATGGTCCTCTGGTCGTTGTAATAGCCATAAAACAGGACTGAATATTTGCAGTAGCCCTTTGAAAAGAAGAGATGTCAATAAAAGTTTAATAAGAATTTATTGTCTGGTTGTGCAGCCATGTTAACCAGGATGCCTTCAAAAGAGAGAACATTCTAGTTAAATGAAGCTCAAATGTAAAAGTAAAAGTGAGGTTTTATTGCATATAGAGCAAACTGCTGTTGTTACATCTCATTCATCTACAATCCAACGATCTTAGTTGCACAGCTAAGACCTAAAAATTCTTTCTCTGGCCTTTGATTGACAGACTCGCAAATAACCAGTAGAAAAACAGATTGTGTGGGGTGTGGATATTTGAAAAAAAATGGAAAATGAGTCCAACTTTCTAATATATTTAACATACAATGACAGTTTTTGTGCATTAACAAAGTCTAATCAAAAGGTGAAATCCTCTGTTGCAAAGATGCAAAGAAACTGGACAAAAAGACAAAAAGATCAGGACTATTTCATGAGTCTTTTGAGTTTTCTATAGTAATTTACAATGATATATGGTATTTAATAACTTATGCAGATATGTAGACATGAAAATATGATACAAAACTTCAGCTTCATCATCTTCATCATATATCAGACTCACATTGAAGTCCATGAGGACAGAGTAGTCCTGAGCCGTGGCCTGCTCTGCTCTGGGTACAGTTTTCCTGGGAATCGACCCATAGGGCAGGCCCATCAGAACCTGCAAAATAAAGACATGAATATGTTAAGTTAAGCTTTCCTCCTGCCATCACAAAGAAGGCTGGCGGAGTCAGTGCCATCTTTTGAGTTTCTTCTTTCAACTTTTTCCCAAAGAGAAAATCCAGATTTTACTTGATTTATCTTATTTGCTGTGTTGAATAGTTTTTTTTTATTACTTCTTAACACTAAAAATAAATAATTTCATGTATTTTCTGATTTTAAAAGTGCTACATGAATAGATTTTATTACAGCTTTTTTAATTCAGAAACAGGACTACATCAATTGACCTCAGGAATGACCACCAGTCCAAAAGTGAAACCAAAGAGGACGAGGTTCATGCCGTACATCCAGCGCAGGAAAATGAAGTAAGAAGCCACAGATGACCCAAAGTGACCTGAGGACATTGAGAAGATTTTTAAATTCAGCATGTGTCCACAAGGAGTCTCTGTTCATCTGGTAAACACTGCAGCTGCTCTGTCAACCGCACTTACTTTCCACCTCTTTGATCTTCCTCTCCCAGGGAATACAAGCTGTTCTGAAATTCTCAAAATCCCTTTGAAACTTGATCCATTTCTGAGATTAAAAAAAAGAAGATGCAAAATCAAAACAGGCACACACATACAAACACACACACATACACACACACAAACAAAAAGCAGAAAAAAGAAAGGCTAGAAAGTTTGGATTTTGTGCCTAACCTTTGTCATCATCACTTTGTAGGCATACCACTTCCTGCCTTTCCCTTTGCCCAAAGCTCCTTCAAACTTATCAACAAATTCTTGAGCCTCCCTGTGAAGAGACAAAAACATACTCATTCAAATGAGCTGAATTTATGTTTTTCCAGATTCAAACATGAAGAAAAGAAAATAGTCTGACAGAGCAGAAGATTACTTCAGGTGCGTTAGCCTTCGCTTCATCCTCCACGGCTTATTCCTGATATTGGCGATCAGTTTCTTTTTCTCCTCCACCTCCTCCATCAGCCGGGCCATCTCTCCCTCTGACATGGACTCCTCCTCATCGGAGTCTGAGTTGGAATCAGATGAGCTGGAGGAGAAAAGGCAGAAAAGGCACAGAGGAGGAATGGAAGGAGATTGTCAAGTTTAGGATGAAGATGATAAATAAACAACACTTATGGACTGCTGTTAATTTACTTCATGTTACAGCAAGATGCTTCTCTTTTTGAATTCATATCATAAATTCTGGATAATTAATGTAATATGCAGATTGCCATGTGAGTATACGCCTGTAAGGCAGTTAACCCCCATAGGATCCAAGAATTTGAGGGGCTGTGAGATGATTAACAGGATAAGACAGGAGAAAAACACATTTCGACACAAAGACTGTTTATTTTTTCAGACATATTTCAATTCTTGCCTTTTTTCTTTTGAATTAATGGGTCCTTTTTTTCAGGTCTCTACAAGTTATGCAAACAAAACAAAAAAAGAGACTGTACCCATGCTAGCAGCTCTGTAAGACTGCACTGAGTCACATGGGTGCTGGTGCTTTGAGCTAAATGCTAACATTAGCATGCTAAAATGCTCACAGTTACAATGCTAAAATGCTAGTGTTTAGCAGGTATAATGTTTACCTTACTCACCAATTTAGTTTAGCATGCTAACATTTTCTAAATATAACATTATTACAAATGGAACATTCATTACTGTACCAAAGTAGTAGTTGTTGACACATTTCAATTAAATACCAAATGTCAACCTCATCATGGTGGTACTGTAGCAAAGTCATTAGGACTTATCGTCTGGGAACCAGTGGATAAGTGAATTTTGAAGTGCTGGTGGAGCTAAAGCCAGCAGGATTCATCCTCTGGGGATGATTGCAGGTTTTTTAGGAATAATTCAGTAGCTTCATGCAGTGGGATGGTGATGGTGATTGTGATGGAAACACAAGCAGATTACAGAACAGTTTTATTATACTGTATGTATTGGCAATTAAATTGTTAAAATAATATGGATCCTGATTTAAAGGGTAATCAGTTTGGTATCTGGCTCCTGAAGTTTTGCTTCTTACCTGTCGTCCTTTTTCTTCTTCTTCTTCTTGTCCTTGTCATCATCCTTGTCTTTCCCCTTGTCCTTTCCTTTGGTGTCCCCCTTCTTACCCTTACTCTCCTCCTCCTCCTTCCCTCCTTTCTTCCCTCCTCCCTTCCTTCCCTTCTTCCCTTTTCCCTCGTCACTGTCCTCATCACTGTTCTGGGCTTTGCCTCCTTTCCTCTTATTGGCTGCTCCTCCTCGTTTCCTCTTGGGAGCTTCGTCATCGCTCTCATCTTCATCATCACCGCCGCCACGTTTCTTTGCAGGTTTCTTCTTGTTTGCACCTCTGCGTCCCCTGGGAGCTTCATCTTCCTCATCTTCATCATCCTCGTCCTCACTGGCTGTTTTTTTGCCTCGACCTCTTCCCCTTGCACCTCCTCTCCCAGCTGCCTGCCTCCTGTTCGGTCTCCTCCGGACGGCACCGTCTACACCAACACCAAATAAATCACATAAAATGAACTATAAAGTATTGACGTTTTTAAAGTCAAGGCCATGAAATGCTGTTTTATCCACTCACCGTCACTGTCACTGTCACTCAAATCCCCGTCTACCTCTATCCCAACTGAGGAAGAAAACAACATATCATTATTATTGAGTTGTGTTTTATTTTGTTTTTTCAAAGCAATCTAATTTTTTCAACGTTTCTTGTAGTTGTAGCTACGCTAGTGGTGTAGCTTTGGGATAATGTCAATCAGTCTGCCACAGTCAGGTTAACATTTTTGTCGTTTTGAGTGAAACAAAATTAAACTTTGTCCAATACTTTGTTGGATGATCACATACCTGCAAAACTGGCAATGACAATTCCCGGCAGCCTCGGCTGTATTTTCTTTTTAGTGCTATTTAGCAAATGTTAGCAGTCTAACATGCTAAAGTAAGATGGTGAACAGGGTAAACATGCTATCCTGCTAACATCAACACGTTAGTATTGTCAGGTGTGGATAAAGAAATCCAATTAATACATATACTATACACAATACATTTACTAAGGAAAAATATTGAGACTTTATCACATCATTTAGACTTTAGTATCACACATCAACATTTCTCATCAAAAAGGAATTTTCTGGAATAAGGTTTTTAAGTTGTTATTTATCTCAATGATACTGCAGTCATCTGTCTTAATCTGTTGGGTACTGAAACATCCTGAAACGAGATGATTGTTTATAGTAACTCAAACTGAAAAATTACTGTACACCATATGTAATAACTATATGAAAGAATGACTATACTATTGCTATTAGAATAATATCAAGCGGGTGGTTTCAGAAAACAAGTTCAGGACTCAGCAAAAAAAAAAAATGTTAGCATGGAGTTTTCCAGTGGCAGTGATGTCATATTGTCATATATTGCAAAGTTGACACAAACTTTATATATTAGTGCTTTGAAGTTCATCATAGATACACGTGTCCCAGAGACTCTCTGTTTTGCATATAACACACAGCAGATATATGGGGCATGAAAACGGTGAATACCAGAACCAAATAAGTTTTCATCAAGTTATTCAGGTCAGAAAGTCCAAATTAAGTTTCAAGTCAATTGAGTCACAAATAATTATTTTTGATAAATTAGATTAATATTTTTTTGATTTTGTTAAGTCTGATGTCATAACATTTATTATTCAAATTTGTGCCCAAATTTAGTTCCAGGGACTCGGGCCAACAGCAGGTGGAGACCAGTGGAAACAAGAGCAGAACCCGTGACAATGGCTGCAAGTTATGTCAAGCTTCATTAAGCTCCTGCCTCTGAAAAAGGGCCAAAAGTCACATGACTTGAGTCCATACATTAGTGTCTTGGGTCTCAATTAAAGAATTGAATGTTGTATAAAGTATGTAAGTACTAAGTGGTTGAAATGAATGTTCAGTCAGTTCATAAAATGTACTTTTTTCAACTCAAATTATTAATCTGTTTTGATACAGGATAATATTTTTCTGCTCTGAATTGACTCTGCTGCATCCCACATCATTACAACCTACACAACTCATATCATTATACAAAACAAATGATTCCTCCAGTTCTCCAATCTTCAACTCACCTTCATCCATTGTCGCTGCATCAATTTTTCTTGGCATGATGGAAGATAAAAAGCGTCTGTCCTCTGCGTCCTGTGCAGCGTTTGACCAGTCTACCCCCCCCCCCCCAAAGAAATTGGCTCTCCTCTGCCTCGGCTCCCTGCCAGCACCCAACTCAGGTATCTGACAGTGCCGTCACTATGACGACTGCTGCATGTGACCCGCTCTCAACAGGTGTTCTTTGATAGGTACAGCGAATTCTGGAAACCAAAGGCAATGGCACTGTGGCTTATCAAGCAGAGAGGCTGTGTTATTCTCCAGTAGCTGGGACATTTATATTTTATTATTACTACATGGAGGTGCTGATGTGCAGCTGTGGGTCTCAGCAGTGGTTCACATCAGGCCCAAACTGACTCTTAGAGGTGAGATCATCTACTGTGAAAACTGTATTTAGCTTTCCTGCTTTCTTTTTCCTTAATATCCAAAAAAGCACATTATCTAAAGTGCCTAAAAACACTCTCACTCATCTTGTTATTGGAGACCACAGACACACACACAGGAGAAGACCAGACGCCCTAAAGATTTAATGAAGGTTTAGGTTTCTGTAAGCGAGGCTCATCAGGCACGCAGTAAATACCCTGAGATGACCTTGAAACTGCAGTGTTTCTTTTCTTTACAGTACAAATACAGCAGCTCAGACAGTCAGCCAGCCTGAAGCAAACACTGACAGCAGCTACCTGTGTGCGCAGAGCTGGAAACCGTGCTGAGAAATACTCCAGAGCCTCATTAAATAATAGAGAAGAGCTCATTTTCCACATGCAAAATGATTCTATTACACGGTTGTCAGTTTCTGCAGGTGAGATGTGGATCACACACTCGACACATTTGCTGCATCCCTGCTCACCCGAATAGAGAGAGAATGTGAGACTAGAGAATATGGACACAAAGTGCATATGTCAAGAAAGTGTATATGACAGAATTTTACTATATTAGATTAAGTGGTCATTATATAAAGTACTGCAACATACAAAATGTTGATGGTATATTTTTAAAGTGAATTTATATAGAGGGTAAATGTATATGCTATACACCAAGGTCCAAAACTGTGAGACTATTTTCCCAAAAGTGGTCCGAGACCTTTGGACCCCACTGTTTGTATATACACGTGTAGGCATATGCACAGATATTCATGCATTTTATGAGAAATGCAAAAAGAATTGTAACCATCCCCAGCCTGCCCTACAAACATGTATATATCAAATATCACAAATATGGTCATTGTACATGTGTTTTTGGCATCTGTTTAAAGGATTGATAAGATGTTTCCTTTCTGCTCCACTTTCACAGCTGTATCGTCAGTTTTGTATTGTCATATAGCAATTTATCAATATAGAAAAGACCATTAAGAAAAGAAGACCACACTACGTATTGAGTAATACATCACACTAGGGACATTGAACACTACATTATAATTTAAAGATTACAGCAAAAAAGAAAAAAACAAAAAGAAGGTAAAATTGCCAAAACGGGAAAATTATAATTGAGCAAAATTCCAAGACATAAACTGCAATTGAATGAATGAACATGGATAAATAATAAAAAATAAATAAAAGACCTTCTACTTTTGTATTTTGTTGTAAATAATCTACTATTAAATCCATAAATGCCAAACTTACTTACACTGCTCATCACAAATAAACCAAAGTAATGTCCTAAATCTGCTTATTGACCATGACCAGCAGCCGAAACAGCATTAAATTGACAATACAGTGATGCTCAGCAGAGATAAGCAAACACATTTTAAAGCATTAGGACTAAAACAAACTGTGTATGACAAAAGGAATTAAATGAACAAAGTAATTATTTAACAAAATTAAAAGCACTTGGTGTTTGTTTAATTTTTTTGGTTAACAACATCTCAGAGATCAGTCTCGTCTCTCTGGAAACAGCAGAAATTCACCACATCTCCTCAACTCCGGACACATTTGTGGTCCTGACACACAAAAACCATCAGATGTTTCTAAATCAATATTTGATGCCTGATCACAATGAAAGATGCATGAGCAATTAAAAGTTAATGGCTCAGGTCTGGAGAGAGCTTTAATATTATACTGCACATCTGTGACAGCCCAGCACCAGTGTATGTATGACAGACAGACTGAAGGATAAAAAGATATTCAACTATTTAACTTCTGTTCCGTGTTACAATCAGAGCTGTGAATTATGAACAACTATAAACCTTCATATAAGAAGGTTGGTGATAAATTCAGCTGTTTACATGTGTTTATATTCATAATCACATTCTGCAAACAGTGCTGACTGAGTAATATCAAAGAGTTTATTTTTAAATTTGCAATGTCAGGTTTTACTTTTCAGTGATATTTTATTATGGTATTAACTTTTATTTCAGTTTGTCTTTAAAAGTTTCATATATTTATACAAACTGCACAATAAAAGTCAACAGTCATGTTTGTAGTTTGCTCTCTTAGACAAGTTACATGTTGCTGTTATGCCACCTAGTGGTTGTTCCACAACAACAACAACAAAAAAAAGAAAAATCAATTGACGTGTACTAACCCACAATTACTGCGGAATAACTGCATTAATGAATAAATTAGCTGTTTTACAAATACTGAAAGGTCATGTTTATTTATATGAGAATATATTTCATGTATCTTTATATTTCTGTATGGTTTCTTACAATCACATGTACACATGAGAACAGAAGGTTTAAACACTGAATAATCTGAACGTTAGACGTGGAATCAGATAAGATATAATCAATAAGATTTTGAAATTTGTGAAAATCTGTTCACAGTGTGGTTATCACCCTTTGTAAACCTGTGACAAAACTTTGCATGTTCAATTCAATTGTGGATGTGTAGAAGAGATTTAAATTTGTAGAGAACTGCTTTCAACTGGAAAAGCAGGGTCAAAACTCTTACACAACTTCAAATGTGTAATTGTAACATCAGTGTCACACTCTGTGTGGTACACTGAGGTTACAGTGGGAGGAATTTCACACAGTTTTCTGCTTTTCAGTTGCAGTCAGATGATCACAAAAGCAGTGTTTTTCCCCTCCACGGCTTTATATAACCTCAACATTGATCCTTTGTGCACAACTTGTATTTACTATGTCTCATTTTAGCAAAGGCTCTATGGACAGCAATGTTGGTGTGATGGCTGGTTGCTCAGTCAGTCACATCAGTTTATACTGAACAGACATTCACGTTCCCCAGAGAATGGATTTTATCGTCCTACCCAGTGTGACTGGAACTGAGGAGCAGAAGCGTTCCTGACACCATGTGCATCTTGTGCTTATGAATGAGCTCCATCTGCACGTGCATGTATCAAAACATACAGACCTCAGGGTGAAGCAAGGGAGCAGGTGTCATAACGTGACCCGAGGACATACTCGCTGCAGCAGATCCTGTTTCCCCTGCGGAGACACGAGTCACGTGGAAACACGGAGCTGTGGCAGAGACACTGACAGACAGCAGCCTGTAAATGTCAGCGGGATGCTGTGCTCGCCATCTGAACCTGTTCGAGGAAAATAGGGGTTTATGTATCATTACAAACTGTGGCTGTATCAAACTTTTACCAAGGTTCTGTTTACACTGCAAAATAAAAAGAGGTCCACATAGAAGAGGTTAGGAAGAAATGCAAACACCAAACTATTAATTTTCAAATGAAGAGTCTTGATTCTATATTTTTGAACATAATTTATTTACATCATACAATTTATTCTGTATTATTGGAAGATTATGCGCACTGCAGTATATAAATAAAGATGTTTGTACAAACTTGCATAACTAAAGGGTAAAAAACAAAACACACACATTAAGCAGCCAGACCAAAAATCATCAAAACGGAAAAATTAATTAATAACCTACGCCCACAGGTCTCACTAGTCACCGCGGCACACAACCACTTAGCCTCATGATACTCACACACTAGCCAATCACATCGACTCCCAAAAACACACACTTGTGTTTGACACACACGTGCGCAGCAGTCCAACACACTCCCGATGTCATGAATTTGTCAGCTCACATTAAAAATAGAAGAAAACATTCAATAGTGAAGTAAAAGATGAAAATATTAGTGGAGCTAAACCCTTCCAAAGGCAAAAAATTAATACAAGTGTAGGCTACTTGTCATACAACAACACACAACATACAAACCATTTTTCTGGAAAACAACAACAACCAAAAAAAAAAAGAAAAAGAAAAAAAAAAAAAAAACAGGGAACAAACGTCACAGTCAGGTGACATGTCTCATCATGTGACTTCAGTGGATGGTTTTAAAGACCTTAAAAGCAGAAGTCCATGTGCCTGTCCTTCCAGATCCCGGACACAGGGCGAGTCACAGCATTCAGTCCAAGATCAGTGGGAGAAAAATGAAATACACCGTCAAACTACATTGTGTTCCTAGTGCCGCACACACAGCAGGAGGGAGGGGATATGAGCCAGCAAGAAAGGGCCTGCAACAAAGTCTCTTTCTCAAAGTCTTTTTAGCAATATGTCTGAGCTGTGTGTCGCAGGCAGGGCCAGAGTGGACGAGATTCCGGCAGCACAGAGAAGCATTTCAGGTTGATAATAACTTACCGGGACGCAAAGTCTGACAGGGTTTGACAGTCAAGAGGGTTTGACTCTGACCTCACAGAGTTTAGTGAAGGCCAGAAAAAAGAAAAAAAAGAAGAGAGAGAGAGAGATATATCCATTTTGCTACTCAAGCCAGCAGAGAGCAAGCACGGCTGAGATGGTGCCATCAGCCAACAGCAGTAACAGTCTGAGTCCAAACAACAGCCCGAAAATATCTGAGCGTTTCCAGGCAGAGTTCAAGTGACCTCAGCAGGACCACAAAACAGACTGGACGGCCATCTACGGCCATCAACAGCATTTTCTAAAAGGGGCTTTTTTTCTTCAGTAACCTCCCTCAGTCACTTCCCATAATAACCCCCACCCACGCCCAGTCCCCAGATACACTATTTGCTTGTTCAATACAAGCCTCAAAAAAGTGTTAGACTCACACCCAAACAAGAACAAAGCTGAAAATATACATGAACTTTCATGCACTGGGGGAAAAAAATGTCCTGAATGTGTAACAAACCAGAAAAGAAAAACAGATCCTTCACAGAGAAGGTTGGGCTCAAGTCTATGTTTTTTTTTTTTTTCTTCAATCCGATCGCTCCCAGTATTCAAAGTCAAACTAAGAGTCTTCTTCATATTCTCTGGATCTTGTCAGCAACAACCACGGGGTTCTCTTTGCGAATCTTGGCAGCAGCTTCAGCTTTGTAGTCGTACGGACAGTTGTGCTTGTCGGAGTAACGGTGAAGTCCACAGAACAGGTTCCCACAGCGGCAGTCAAAGCCTGAAACGCAACAGCAGAGGACAGGCTGAGTCAAATCAATATTAAGGGCTCACAACAGCAAAACATCCCTCAATTTAAAACACGCCGGTGCACACTGCAGCCACGTGTTGATCACCTTAAAAACTCATCACCCCATGATGTGATCAATTACTGATCAGAACAGGTGTGAAGACACATTTTCAGGAAAAGGACACAGTTCTTATTTAGGAGGATGTAATAAACTACAACCAGCTGTAATGAATCACTGCTCCCTGTAACGTTGCCTATTACTTATAAAATGACTGAATCGTAGAGGAATATATCAACACTTAGATATGAGATCAATTCTGAACCAATATTTACCCACATCTGTTTCTTTGGCTGCAGTAGATTGTAATGTAGTCTGCTGATGTTTTTTTCTTTTGTTTTTTTTTGCTGTTGCTCAAGTAAAGGTTTATGCACATTTCACATTCTGCTGTGGATTCTGGTCTGACCAGACTCTATTGGCACATTCAGCCATAATTGTAGCTGTTAACCCAGAGCAATCTCATTATCCAACCACAGAAGCTGTTACAATTTGAGCACCTGACAACACTCCATTATAAATGACTAAATCACTTTACTGAAAGAAGTTACAGTCGTCAGCTTGTACTTCCTGGGGGAACAAGTAACCTAGAAGAACAGGAACAAAGCTGTGGTTGGTGGCAGACTGACTCTCTCTAATCACATTAAATCACGTCTCACCTGTAAGGCCAACCTTCTTGCGACACATAAAGCAGCGATTCTTCTTGGGCTTTGGGGGCTCTGGGGTTTTGGACTCTTCACTGCCAGCAGTGGAGGGATGAGAGGCTGAGACTGTGGGCTGACTCACCACTGAAGACACACAAGAAAAACACTTCAACTCGTAAAAGTATCTCTCTTAATAACCCAAAGAGGTGCTACCGTACCATAAAAAATGCATTTCTCGGACAACAAAGCCCCCTTGTGTAAGTGAGGGTGGAGAAAATATTTTAATCAGGTGTACACAGTTAAATTTAATTGCAATATTAATATATACATGAACTACATAGAGCAGTTATGCATAAAATAACCAGAGTGAAATGTTTGTTTCTGACTAATTGTGTGGAAAAAAATAGCTGTAAAAATCAAGGTACTTCATCACACTGATTAAAACGACACCCTGACTATAATATGTCCATAAAGCAGTCCTGCTCACTGATTTACAATTTGTTCCTCAATGGCCAAATACAATCAGAGATATTTCAGTAAAGGATACCTCAGTATAAACAAAATTTGGATCATCTCATGATAAATACCATCAAATTGTCTGACTGTAATCAACATTTTCCCAACAGTGAAAACAAAAGTTAAACATTATACTGCAAGTGTCACAATGTTATTTCCTGTAGGCCTGTTGTATTGGCCCGTATCACACTACACTCAATAAACTATTAACTAAGTATATAACCGCTGAGATAAGTAACTGGTCCATTTGTGGTACCCACCTGGCTCTGTGAGCTCTACTGTACTCCCTGACGCCCCTTTCTCCTCACAGGAGAGACTCATTTCAGTCATCTGTTGTGTTACAGAAATGGCCGTTGAAACCCCACTGTGAAGATAGAATAAAATCAATTTAAACCTGCATATTACAGGAGAGTAAATTAATTTAAATGACCATATCTATCATATATCCAGCTGGTGTGTGCTGAGGAGACAGTAAGGAGGTCCTACTACACATGTATTGATTCAGGTTTAATGATGGCTTCAAGTGGGGTCCTTTTTATGAGAAGAGTCCACAGGAACGACCCACTGAGGAAGTTGCTAAGGACTAGCAACAATGCACTCATGACTTAAACCATATAAATGGCAGGGGTAATGTGTACTCAGCTTCCTATTTCAAACCTGTGACCTCAAGCTTTATTTGAAGGTAGTATAGTGTGACCCTTGTGGATCCCCTCACCTGAGCGCCTTGGTGTCAACAGCCTCAGCAGAGGCGACCGCCTCAGCTGCCACCTCTGCAGCAGCGACTGCAGCAGCTGCAGCATTATTAAAGGTGGCCCCTAACCTCTGGATGGCAGAAGCCTCAGCTGTGGGGCCACTGCTGCTGCCTGAGAAAGAAAATATCACCTTGTTACAGTCAGACACTTGAGACAAAGGCAGTGCAGCTGCAGACAGGAGTCTGGAGTTTATGAAAAACCTGTGACAGACACAGCAGTTCTTACCCACAGCACTCAAAGAACCGACTCCTCCATTATTCTGTCTTGACAGGTGCTCCTTGTGGCACACAGAGCACATGCCATTAGTCCTAGGGTTGCCATAGAAACCACAGCCAGTGGCACAGAGCATAGGTACTGGGCTCTGATTGGTCTCCTGGGCCATAGCGATGTCTGCCGCCTAGTGAGCTGACCTGGAGACATAAACAAAGACGCACACTGGAATGATAAGTCTTTGTGTTGGTGCAAGCACAGGAAAAGAAATGAGACCTGAAGAAATAAGCTCAAGAATAAGTTAGCTTTGCTGAGTGGGGCACTCAGAAAACAAATCAGGCACAAAGACAAATCATTGCCAAAAGGCCACTGAAAGGTAAATGGAATACAAAGAATTAATCTGGCAGAAAATGCCAAACATTCACTTTCTCAAATTTGAGTTTTGCTGCTTTTTCCATTTTATATAATTGTAAACAAATTGTAAACAGCAATGAATTTTGGACTTCTACTAGATGTTCAGACCAAAACAACACTGTGTTAATAAACTGAACCGATTAGTTTTATAATCTGGGGTACCGTGATATTGTGATTCAGCTAAACTGAGCTGCATTACTGCCAGCAGCCACACAAAATATCCAGATACTGAGTCAGAAAACATTGATGTTTGTTCACTTGAATCTGCAGAAATGATAAAACCAAACAAACATTTATAACTCACAGCTCAAAGCATTTACTAATACACAATAAAATGTGCCATTAGCTGGGTGAATATTGGATGAGTATTCATGCTAAATGATGTCCTGACCTATCACCAGGCCCTGCAGTGAACATCAGGCTGTGCCGTCATAACACAGTGTAATATTCACCCCTGGCTGTAGTCTGTCTGCCTTACTGAATCACACTCACCTCTGGTTCAACTCCACTCAACACTCTCATACCACACTATTCATCTGTAGGTAGCAATTATTAATAGGTTTAGCAAGAGCTCATTATCACTCACAGCCATTAACACATGCTCACATCTGACTTTGGCTTGTTCAGCTGCTCAGCTACTTAATGTAATTAACACAACATTGTAGTCTAATTTGGACACGGTCATCAAACAACAGTGCGAACAGTCTCACTGATCAGAAGACACTTTCTCCAGTCAGTCATTTCCTCATTAGCCAAAGTTAAAAAGACAACTTGTATCTTCCCTCTGCCCTCTATCACCACAGGTTTTGGCCTCAGATCACTACACTACCTGAATGATGAGATAATCATGCCATTTAAGACAGGGGTCTAGACTTTTTTGGCACTGAGTGAAAAATGTTGGCAACACAGATCATTGAAAATTGTACAGAAACTTGGCATGAATGCCTGGTCACGTTTATAGTCTGCCAATTTTAGACTACAACAAGGAATTCCATGCTTGATCTTGGAATCAATATATGTGATAAAAGAATCCCAATTCATGGTTTGACTGTAAAAGCTCTTGCTTACATATTGTCACAATAGGCCTGTAGGCAAAAACACAGGCAGGTCTAATATTAGCATAATTACGGCTTGTTCCAATTCAAAACACAAAGAGTCCTCTCTTCTCTAGCCAAAGTTAGTAAATTAAACATGAATTTGCATCAGCCTAATGAGACATGTATTTTAAAGGAAGTGGTGAGGATATCACTTAAGGGGACATAGGCTGTTTACGGTGCTGACTAAAAGATGGGGGAACGAAATAGGAAAGTATTCACATCATCAAGCTCCGGTTCAAGTGAACTGCATCAGAGGCTTCCTCCTCTCCCCAAAAAATGTCATCACTATACCACTGCAATCTGCACCTTCACGTGTGTGTGCCTGCACACTGCAGAGCTCCAGGCTCACATGGACCTGGTATGATGGCTTTCCTCTGTCACAGGAGTGCAATGTGACACTGATTTCAAAAGACACACACAATCACGAGTTACCTCAATACAGTAAGGCTGTGAACACATCTATTTTTAGACAACCTCGAGAGACCTGCAATCAGAGCTGGTATCATGCCAAGATTTGTATCCTCGTCAGCGTAGGTTTCCCTTGAAAGATATCATCAGCTTTCTAAACCAAGGGATGAAGCACATTGTCAAGACAGAGGCTGCCACCGACTGGGGATGAAAGTAGTCTGAATAGATTGTGACATGGGTACAAAATTCAGTGCAACACCTGTAGATCACGTAAAAAGACGAGAACGTTTATTACCGAGACAAAAGATAAAAATCACTCTGAGCCAGACATGTACTGTTTCTTGTAGTATGCTAACATCACCCCAAGGGTCAATAACATAAAGGCGTGTATCTTAAGTTAGATATCCTCAGTGGAGTCACAAATAATCAGTATTATTTATATTGGCTGCGGTCCTCGGTTGCTTCCTGGCAAACACCGGGCCACAACCGTGTCACTTCTACAAATCCACTGAGTCATGCTAGCAAGCTAATGGCTGCTGCTAGCGTCCTTCTCTCAAAATCAACATTACATTCAACTGGCTAGCGTGGACATTATTGCCTCTCAGCCAGGTTATGAACGTTTCTGGCTAAAGTTATAGACGACCAAAGCTCAGATGAACGCTTAGTTGTATCCAATTGGTCGTATGCTAACGTCTGTTAGCCACAACAACCGTGTGAGCAGATTCTCGTGATCTCGCTAATGATAGCATGCTAGAGGTTAGCTACAACAGAAAACTGTTAGCACTGTTGTTGCCTTTGCTTTGTCTGTTCTCTGTTTTTGTTCCCACCACAGACGAAGTACCTATGTTGACATTAACTTGAAACTAACTACCTTTACGACTAATACCATGGGAAATGGGCAGGTGAATCAAAACGGCAAAACAGACACATGAGAATACCTGTTAATGGAAAAATCATGAAATAACCAACAAGATACTGGGCAAGTCTACAGATGCTGGTGGTGGTAATGCTAGCAGATTAACGCTAGCCACAATACATACAGAGTTTATAGTTAGTTTATAGTTTGATCGGTGTTGAAACAACAGTGACATTAAAGTTAGGTTTAGTAGCTGGGAGTTCTAAAATGCGAAAGTTGTATTTTATTTACAACCTCGCAGTTGGATAAGAAAAGTTCTCAACGACACGTGCTAATCAAACGAAACATTTCTTTAATCCTCCCTAGTTTAGGAATTCAAGTGTAGATTAACGTCAAGGCTAATTACAACAAGATAAAATGTGATTTAAAGACTGTTCCATGTTAACGCTAGTGTTTCGCTGTTCACCTCAGAAACTTCCCCAACAACCACTTGTGCTAGCTCACGATGCATCAACTAATGAACTTACCTTCTGTGTCAGAGAAGCGTTTTTTTTTGGAACTTTGGGATTGACGAATAACTAATTTAACCTTGGTTGGAGCTAACTAACTAGGGCCGTCTAGGTGAGTCGTCGTCTGTGCCTTTCTTTTCAGTCTTCTCACACAAACGTAGGCTCCACTCCACCCGGGAGTAATGCTGACTGGTTTAGCTGACGTCCTCTGTAGCTGATTTGTGGTGGCATCTGTTTTGTTTTACGTGGTGCGTTTGCGTCCTCTCTCTTTCCGGTGGACGTCACGGAAATTGTGATCCTGTGATTGGAAGGCAGGGGTGTTGGAGTATAGCCACAAAAGATTTCAAGGTATTACAGAACATTTAACCCCGCTTCTTCTACTAAGCAGACAGAAAGTAGCTTCGATACTGGTGTTGTTTAGTTCAAAATCAATGAGCATGTTGTTAGGAAAGGGGCGATGCGACCTTGCTATCTGTACATCCAAAGAAACAAGTTGGAGAAGAGATGGCGCATTCACGTGCTCCTCGTAATCTCCAACTTCCTCAGGGGATTTCTGTACCTCCACTGCCCAGCTTTCACTATAGTTCTCTCTGTCTAACCTTGTTCTTTCTCCTGCAACTTACATCTCCCTGAGGTAAAGCTCAATGAAATGGGTAGTCTTTAGGCACAGGTCCAAGTATTTCTTGTCTGAAAGTCACAGGGTTCACGTAAAAGTAGGGATGTCAGAGTAATTTTTTAAAAACATGATCATTTCATTTTGTGCAGCTGCTCTGATGATACCAATTCTGATTTGACATTTATTTTTGTTAACTTTTTGTCATGTTTATTTTTATAATGACAGGCACATAGCATGGGCCGATGCCACATACCACAGCATTTATAGCCAAAGCTTGTTTGCAATGCCCATCACAAGGGCCTGTACACAAATACACAAAACAGCACAAAACACAAACAATGCACAGGGCACACACAGTCATACAATGAAATGATCATAAAACCCAATGAAAAGCACCGGATACTTCATGACAACACAACTGATCATTCTTTCAAAGCAAAATGAGGCAGTTCATGATCCATTTTGAGTTATCTAAGTAAGGAGTTTCACATATTGATCCCAAATTACAAAATATAGTTTTAAAGCACAATTTGGGGTGCAGTGGTAGTTATGGTGCCTGTCATGTACTCAGTGCCCATTAAGGATACAGTATAATTCATCCATGCCACCACACTGGATGAAAAGATCCTGACACTACATTTGCTAAATGCTCCCCTCTAGTCATTTGCAAATTCCCATCATCTCCATATAGATTGTTTTTGAATTTTCAAATCCATAATCTAAAACATGTTGTCATTCTGTAGTTACAATATAGAGAGAAGGAAAGAAAGACAGACATTATATATATATATATGTATGTATATAGAAATACTATTCTAGTTCTATAAGACAATAGTCTATATCACATACAAGTTCATTAAAAAAAGTTAAATTGAATTAAAGTTCGTTAATTTCCTCACAATATATTACAGTCCCACGTAATGTTGAAGCATACTGTCAGTAGCTATACGTTGATACAGATATAATAATACATCATAATTTTGTGTGTGTGTATGTGAGTGTGTGTGTGTGTGTGTGTGTGTGTGTGTGTGTGTGTGTGTGTGTGTGTGTGTGTGTGTGTGTGTGTGTGTGTGTGTGTTTGTGTGTTTGTTTCAGATGGGAGACTGATATGTAATCAATTATTAATACTGATTACTGCATGTAATGACACATTTAAACGCATCATCATCCGATTTTTTACATTAAACTTACTAGAGTTTTTTTTGTTTTATTTGTTTTGTTTGTTTTTACTATGTAAATATATTTTTCCACATCTACGTTTTAAAATACATTCAAAAAGCATTCAAACACTATAAAGTGTGCTTTTAAAAACATAAGCAGGACATAACAGGAAAAGGAAGTGAACAAAAAAGATACCATATCACGTGAACACTAGTTGTCTGGGGAACGCATTTGAAACAGATGCGCTCGACCAATCAGATGCTCGGGGAATTCGGAGCACAGCGAATCAGCGTGTAGCGAGCGAGGATTTAAACCAAGACGCCGAAGCTTAAAACTACACCGCATCCTTCATCAGTACGAATATCCGTCTTTTGGTCGAAGCAACGAACATTTGGAAATGGCTTCTCGAGTGACCAGAGTAAGGCATTGGAGCTTTTTCTAATTCGTATTTGTTTTCTTACTTATAAACAGAAACATTTAAAAGACTTTGGACAAAGGCTTTGTCGAATTTTTATTTATTTTAAATACCTGCAGTGTAATATGCCCTCGTGCGTCGCGGTGGGACCTGCTCTCGTGTAATCGTTCCATAATAATAGGAATTCGACTAAACTCGGTATCCTGCTATTCATTTGCAACTTCCAACATAACTCTACTTTTTTTTTTTGCTTTTCTGCAGAACCGCTTGGCTTCTACCAGGACTGACCTCGGTGGCAAGGCCTGCTCGGTGACCGGGCCCTCACTTAAGCCTCGAGCGGCACTTGGAGAGATTGGAAACATCGCAGTTAACAAAGAAGCGCAGAAAAAGGTGAAAATGAAGGAAGAGCGAACGTGTGGGTTGGTTAGAGGCGTGCTGCTGTACAATACAAACGTATTTTATCGTTAGCCATGCATTGATATTTTTAATAGATTTTGCAGGCTGCTGCAATACCCGAAGGAGGTCTAGTTGTATGTTGTGGGGATTTCCATGTTTCACTAATTGAACCAGTGGACTACCTGTTGTAGTCTTTAGGCCTAAATGTAGTGGGAACAAAAGGGTGTTAAGGGAGGAACTCACCCTCTACCATCACTTTTTTTTTTTTTCTCTCCTCCCCTCGGTGGGGGGGGGTGATCGTTAACCATGATCAAGTTGCCATTATTTCAGCAAGACTTCACTACTCCATCTTTTAATTTTAGGGCATCAAGACAGAGGCAACTAAGAAGACCAAAGTCGCCACCAAAGTTGAAAAGGCAGCAGTTGTCCAACAACCAAAACCAAAGAATGAGGTTCCTGTTAAACCTAAGCCTGAGGTGCAAGTGAGTTGCCTGCCAACAGCTATCTTGCTATTAAGACACAAATGACTGCTGGGTGTGGTACTTGTTGTTTTGAACTCATGTTTGGATTCCCACTGTTCCAGCCTGTGCCTGAACCAGCCTCCCCTACTCCAATGGAGACTTCTGGCTGTGAGCCTGCTGACCTCTGCCAAGCATTTTCCGATGTCATGCTTCATACTGCTATCAGAGATGTGGATGCAGATGACTATGACAACCCCATGCTCTGCAGTGAATATGTGAAACAGATCTACAAGTATCTCCGACAGCTCGAGGCAAGCAACAATTTTCTGATTAAGTTTCATGTTGTGTCTGGGTTTTCTCCCCAGCTTGTCTTTGGATTTAATCCAGTTTCTTATCATCTCAGGTTGAGCAGAATGTTAGACCCAGTTATCTACAGGGTCAGGAGGTAACTGGTAACATGCGAGCCATTCTCATCGACTGGCTTGTGCAAGTGAGCCTGAAGTTCCGTCTACTGCAGGAAACGATGTACATGACTGTGGGAATCATTGACCGCTTTCTTCAGGTGAGTGACTTTTCTATTAACTCTTGGCCTCTGTCTCTAACACTTGCATGCTATATAGCAAACCCCAGCCTTCTGATGTGCTTCACCTGTCTTTCTAAACACTACATGTCATCTCCAACAGGACCACCCAGTCCCCAAGAAGCAGCTGCAGCTGGTCGGAGTGACCGCCATGTTCCTTGCTTCCAAATACGAGGAGATGTATCCCCCAGAGATCTCAGACTTTGCCTATGTGACAGACAGGGCCTACACCACTGCCCAAATCAGAGAAATGGAGATGAACATCCTGCGGGTGCTCAAGTTCCAACTTGGCCGCCCTCTTCCCCTGCAGTTCCTCAGAAGGGCCTCAAAGATCTATGAGGTATCAACATCTCGGTCCAGCTGAAATTAAATCTGGTGCCAGAGTGTAGCCATTTAACAGCCACTAACATATCTGTCTTACCTCAGGTAACTGCTGAGCAGCACACCCTGGCAAAATACCTCCTGGAGCTCACCATGGTCGACTACGAGATGGTTCACTTCCCACCTTCCATGGTGGCTTGTGCAGCTCTGGCTCTTACCCTCAAGATCTTGGATGCTGGAGACTGGGTGAGTGTGGCTTCATCTCTTGTCTTGTCAAGACAAGTACGCAACTGCACACCAGCTTTGTAGTAGTTTTGATGCCGCATAGAAATGTCTTTTTAAACAATCCAAAGACAAACTATGACTTTTTACATCAAGGCCTCATCAAATCTTTGTCTAGATGCCAAAAGTGGTGTAGAATTGGCTCATTGTTTGCAATAGCTAATTCTAGCCTGGCTGAGCAGCCTCCCTCAAGCCTACAGTGGCTTCTAGTTGTACAAAATGCTGAGACCATGTTTCTGACATTTCCCCTCAGGATGTGACACTGCAGCACTACATGGAATACACAGCAGAGAGTTTGATTCCTGTAATGGCACACATTGCCAAGAATGTTGTGAAAGTCAATGAGGGGCTGACCAAGCACACGGTGAGTGTTTATATATTTTTTTTATTTTTTTTTTTTTTTTATAAAATGACATCTGACATTCAGTTGTCAGTGTAATTACCTGGTGTCTGGTTTAAATGGGGAATCTGTAGACTAGCCACAAGGCTCATAATTGAGAGCCTTAATCTCATCTTGGCCAGTTACTTTGTCGGTGACCCTTTTTTTGCTATATTCTTTTGTTTCAGGCCATCAAAGGCAAATACTCGACTTCAAAGCAGATGAGGATTGCCACAATCTCGCAGCTCAAATCTTCACTTGTGAAGGATTTTGCAAAGCAGCTCACCCAGTGAGATGACTAAATGTTTTAGCACCATGTGCTGATTTGTACAGTTGTAACTTAAACTTTTTAAACGTGACTGAAGGATCAGCACACAAAGGACAGTGTCAGTGGTTTGCATGTTTAACCAGCTGAGATCATGCACACTTTTACTGACCTTTTTCCAAAGCATGCTGCAAGTTTTAATTGTCTGGTTTTCAATCTTAATCTAGGCCTCATTTTTGAAACTGATGTGAGTCATTTCACTGAAAAGCAAAGTCAGACATCTTTACACCGCATGAGATTCAGTCAGCCACCAATGACGACTGTAATGCTACTAATTCACTATTTTCACTGTCTTTTTACAAC